TAAGATTTTCATGGTGTTAGCTCTTACATTTAGGTATTTGTGCCATTTTGAGTTCTTTTTTTTTTTTTTTTTATGTAGAATGAAGTAAGGGTCTGCAGTTGGTTGAACAGCATCCCTCAAGAAAATATACACCAGTCCTAATCCATGGTACTTGTGACTATAATCTCATTTGCAATGGGTCTTTGCAAATGTAATTAAGTAGAAGATCTCAGGATGAGGTCATCCTGAATTTAGGTGGGCTCTAAATACAATAACTGGTGTCTACTCGAAGTTCACTGAGCTTCCTGGATGTGTGGATTAATGTTTGCAATCGATTTGGGAAGTTTTCAGCCATTATCTCTTCAAATAAGTTTTTCTGCTCCTTTCTTTCTCTCTCCTCTTTCTGGTACCCTTACTATGTGTATGTTGGTGCAGTTAATAGTGTCTCACATTTCTGTTAAAGTTCTCTTCCTTTTTATTCATTCTTTTTTTCCTCTCTTCTTTGGACTGCATAATTGCTATAGATCTAAAATATTCCAGTTCACTAATTCTTTCTTCTGCAAGTTCAAATCTATTTGATTCCCTCTAGTGAATTTGTCATTTGGTTATTTAAAAAATAATTTCTAATATTGATATTTTCTCTATTTGATGTGAGATTGTCATTTCTTTTACTTTTTTTAAAATTGAGATATAATTGACATGTAACATTAGTTTCAGGTGTACAACATCTTTCAGGTGTACAACATCATACATACATAACAAATATGTATTGTGAAATGATCACCACAGTAAGTCTAGATCACATCTGTTAGCATGCATAATTACAAATTTTTGTTTCTTCTTGTGATGAGAACTTTTAAGATCTCTCTTAGCAACTTTCAAATATACAATACAGTATTAACTATAGTCAACATGCTGTATATTACACCCTCAAGACATTTATTCTGCAACTGGAAGCATGTATCTTTTGACCACCTTTGCCTCTTTTGCCCACCCTGCAACCCCTGCCTCTGGCAACCACCAATTTGGTCTCTGTATCTATGAGTTTTTAAAAAAAATTTTAGATTTCAAATACAAGTGAGATCATATGGTGTTTGTCTTGCTCTGACTTATTACACTTAGCATAATGCCCTCAAGGTCCATCCATGTTGTTACAAATGACAAGATTTCCTTTTTTTATGGCAGAATAATATTCCTCTCTCTGTGTGTGTACTGCATTTTCTTTATCCATTCATCCATCTGTCAATGGACACTTTGGTTGTCTTCCATGTCTTGGCTATTGTAAATAATGTTTCAATTAAAATAAGGGTCCATATATCTTTTCAAATTAGCATTTTCATATTCTTTGGATAAATACTCAGAAGTGGAATTACTGGATCATATGGTAATTCTATTTTTAATTTTCTGAGAAACCTCCATACTGTTTTCAATAGTGGCTGCACCAATTTACATTCCCACTAATAGTGCACAAGGGTTACTTTTTCCCACAGCCTCGCCAACACCTGTCATTCTCATTTTGATAACAGCCATTCTAACAGGAGTGAGGCTCATTATGGTTTTGATTTGCATTTCTCTGATTAGTGATGTTGAGCACCTTTTTATATACCTGTTAGCCATCTGTATGTCTTTTTTGGAAAAATTTCTATTCAGATCTTCTACTCATTTTTAATTGGATTTTTTTTTTTTTTTTTGCTATTGAGTTTTATGAGTTTATATTTGGTATCAAACTGAAAAAATCATCACCAAGACTGATATCAAGGAGCTTACTGCCTATGTTTTTTCTAACAGTTTTATGTTCCAGGTCTTATGTTCAAGACTTTAATCCATTTTGAGTTAGTTTATGTGTATGTTGTAAGATAAATTGCATTCTTTTGCATATGGCTGTCCACTCTTCCCAGTACCATTTATTGAAGAGACTGTCCTTTCCTGATTGTATATTCTTGGCTCCTTTGTTGTAAATTAATTGACCACATATGCATGGGTTTATTTCTGGGCTTTCTATTCTGTTCTATTGATCTATGTATTGTTTTCATGCCAGTACCATACTGTTTTGATTACTATGGCTTTATAATATAGTTTGAAATCAGGAAATGTGATGCCTCCAGCTTTGTTCTTCTCAAGATGGCTTTGGCTATTCGGGGTCTTTTCTGGTTGTACTCAAATTTTAGGTTGTCTATTTCTGTGAAAACTGCCATTGGACTTTTTATAAGGAATGCACTGAATATGTAGATTTCTCTGAGTAGTATGGACAGTTTAACAATATTAATTCTTCTAATCCATGAGCACAAAATACCTCTCCATTTCTTTGTCTTCTTCAATTTCACCTCCGTGGTCAAATTTATTCCTAGGTATTTTATTCTTTTTAATGCAATTGTAATTGGGATTGTTTTCTTAGTTTCTCTTAATGATAGTTCATTATTAGTGTATAGAAATGCAACAGAGTTATATATATTTTGTGTCCTCCAACTTTACTGAATTTGTTTTATTAGTTCTAATAGTTTTTTTGGTGGTCTTTAAGGTTTTCAGTATCTAATATCAAGTCATCTACAATTAGTGATAGTTTCACTTCCTTTTTGATTTGGATGCCTTTTCTTTTTCTTGCCTAATTGCTCTAAGACTTCTAATACTATGTTGAATAAAAGTGGCAAGAATAGGCATCCTTGTTTTGTTACTGATCTTAGAGGAAGAGCTCTCAGCTTTTTACTGTTGAGTATGATGTTAGCTATGGGTTTGTCATATAAGGCCTTTATTATGTTGGGGTACATTCCCCTTATACCTATTTTGTTGCTTATGTTGTTGATTTCTTTAATCATGGTTTTTTTCAGTCCTTTGAACATACCTGTAATGGTTACTTTAAAATTTTTGTTAAATCTGACATCTGGTGGCTTTCACAGGCAATTTCTGTTGTCTGTTCTTTTTTTCTGGTGTATGGGTCAGACTTTCCTGTTTCTGTACATATCTCATAATTTTTGTTGAAAACTTGACATTTTAGATAACGTAGCAATTCCGGATACTGATCCTTCCCTCCCCCTACTGCAAGGCTCGTTATTGTTATTTGCTTATTAGTTTAGTGAATGGCTGGATGACGTTAGTAAAGTTAATCCCTACCTCCCTGCCAAGTGTGAATTCTTTGACGTTGCTCCTTGGTGAGAACAGACTTGTGAATGTCCACAGTTACCATGGGATGGCAGTGGTTTTGGCAGGGCTCTCTTTGTATTAAGTCTTCTCACCTAGCTGTTAAACTCCATTGATTATCAGTGGTTGCTTTATATTTTCAACAATGACCTGGGCATAAAGTGCTCCATAGACCAGTGTAATTAAATTTGGGCTCCTTTGAAAGAATTGCTTTAGAGATGAATGTCTGAGATTTGTTTTGACTCCAAGAGGGCTCTTCTCTGCTGTTTCTTTCCCTGGTTCTCTCTGCCTACAGTTTAGCTTTTATCTCTAATGAATTTATCAACTGCCTCTTAATTATTTTTCACCACAACCTCCATTGTTTTTGAGAGAATCTTAGGCTTCAGTGTGTCAATGTGTGCACACTATTTCACAAATAAAGTCAGTTCCTTTGGGAAGAGATTTGGAGTATTTTTTCAATGGTCTGCTACTTCAACTGTGCAAAATCTCTGAATCTGAAGCTGAGACAATGGTGTGCTTCTTTTTGAGTGACACTTCTTCTTTAGGAGATAAGGACTTGGTAGAGGGGGAACAGTAATCTCAGTTCTTAGCTTGCCTCTCGCAGTGTGGAACCTCCACCTTACAGATAGGAAAGGGTGATCAGGGCCCCAACATTCTCAGTGGCACCATGTTCAGATTAAAGCTTCTATCCAATGAGTTGGGTTGGCCAGAAAGCATTCTCACCTCTTGACCACACATGCTCAGAACGTAGCCTCACAACAGGTAGCTGAGAGTAAGATGAGAAATGCTGAAGTCCTGCCTCTCTTAGGAAGAGAGTCCTCCATCTGGGAGCTAAGGGGAGAGGGAGCCCTCTGTTCTTGGCTGTACAAGTCTGAACTAAAGTTTCTACCTTACTGAGCTGATAAAAATGGGTTATGGTTCTTATACTATAGTCTCTCAGTGTACTTGGTTTTAGTTGATTTTCTTGAATAAATGTTTCTTCATTTGCTGTATGCTTTTAGGACCATTTCCAAGACTTTAAATGGTTGTTTTTAAAAATAACTTTCATCACTTTCATTGGGGAACACATCTGCGGAGGTTCTTGGTATGTAATGCCAGGCATGGAACCCATAATAAGCTCATAATATTGAATCTTTCAAACTATGAACACTCGATGACATTTTAAATGCAATGGAAACAAGAATTAAATCTTAAAAAAGCCATTCACTGTTTGGAGTCTATTAATTTTCACAGGTCAAATATGTTTCAAATAAGGTATAGATGTGGGCAAATGAAATACTTTGCCAATTACAAATTAACTTTTTTTCTAGGAATCAAATCCAAAGTGACAATTCATATACTTGAATTAAGCATAGAAATACAATGCTTTTAGTCAAATATGGTAGAGCAAATGAAATTTACTTGGCTATCTTATAGGTCAGTTATTGCATAATGACTACACGTCATTTTTAATTGGCTCCTATTAAGTTTATAAAAGTAAAACAATTAGTCATTTTAGGACTGGACTATGTTGGCCATAAAGTCATGATTATAAATGCCTTAAATCTTAATTAATACATTCATAAATAAAATGTCATAGCTCTATGACTTAGTTCAAATACTTTATAATTGATTTCCATTCTTTAAGGTTAATATATGAAAATGTTTAAAAACACATTTTTTAACCTTACCATATTAGGATCATACCCCAGAGAAAACAAGAATGGTTTTTCTTGCAAAACTGCTTCCTTCCACTTTTCATCAGATACCAAACCAATGTACCAGTCACTTTCATATTCTTTAAGGCAGTTAGTCAGCTCTTTAAAGTCTTCTATTGGACCTAAACTTGCTTTATCAATCATTAGCTTCAGAGTATACCTACCAAATGGAGAAACAAAGAATTATCAACTTTATAAATGAAATAGATTTTGTTCAATATTTTTAAGACATTAAACTGAAATGAAACAGATTTCAGATAAAAAGAGAGAAATGATGGAGTTAAACTGAAGACATCCACATGAAAAATAGATTCTCCGCACAAAAGTACAAATTAAAGTGTACTCCTGATACAATCACAATGCATACTAAGCATTTTTTTTTTTTTCATTTTTAGGAGTGATTATTTTTAAAAATTAGAAATGAAGGTATATCTCCTAGGTTTTTTTTTTAATCAACATTTTCCTGCCAGTGTTACAACTTGCATAAAATCAAAATGAATTACCTGAAAGCTTTCAGAGCTAGTTGAAACAGTTCTGGCTTTTCCGTCAGCCAATCAAAAGCAACAGACCAAGGCAAAACACCTTTGTAAACTCTCAATATATGACCAGGACTAGGATCCATATTGTCTACTCCAAATAAACTAAAATAACAAGTCATTACTGCATGAACATAAAAATCTTTTAAAACTTTGTCCTTTGCAATTTCTTCCAGTACATTTGGGACATTTTCCTCTGAATGAAAACATTTCAACTGCCTTAAGACAAATTGGTACCAGTCTTCTGGAAATAATGAGCTCATCTCCCTCATTTTAGAATTAGGCAAACAGTTAGATGTCCACTCTTTGGGTAAGCTTAACAAGTGAGAATGAGAACAACTGAACTCCATGAGAGGAATATACATCATATCTTGTTTTCCTTTGTCAATAGCAGGATATCCCAATATTACTGCTTCATAAAGACTGTTTTTAGGAACTTTGCCTACAGAATGATCATCGACCCTCTGTGACTCTATTGATCCTGGAATAGGCAAATTTATACCTTGCAAAATTTTCAACTGATCTTTTTCTTTTCCTTTTTTGGTAATTGGCTCATCATCAAAAACATCATCAGACCAGTCATCCAAAGTTTCTGAATTTAAACTATCTGTGTCATCTGGGGATTGAGTTTGTGGTGAAGTATTCAAAGCAGGCAGGATTATTAGAGATGCTTTCCCTTTATTTTCAGTCTTGTCAACATTCTCCTGCATGTTGGACCTTCTGGAGCAATACTGAACAAGTGTCCATACAAGTACTTTAACAAGGTCACCTTTAAATTCTCTTAAGTTATCATGAGAATCTATTATGCCAGATAGGACATTCTTGGCATCAGAATAGAGTTTTACAGGCAAGACAGTACAGGGTGTCAAAACATTTCCAAAATGTTTGTTAATGGAACATATTCTTGCATGTTCTTCCTGTTCAAAGGCACCTTCAAAAACTTCATCAACTCTTAGAGCTTCAGCAGTATGACAGGATGTCTCTTGCAATTCTAACCCCTAAAAAGGAAATAAAAAAGTATTCAAGTTTATGATCACTTATTACACAGAAAAAAACAACTAGTTTTGAAAATGCCCATAGATTAGATTCTCAAAATAAAAATACAAAAAATGCAAAAATTTTCTTTAACTCGAGCTATGCCTTGACTCCAATTTAATGGTACTTAAGATGTATGCTGGATATAGAGATAAAAAAACAATTCCACTATTTCAAAAGAAATTGTAGAAATTCTACTAGAAATTAACAAAATAATTTTATTGACTATAACCATAATTTTAAAAGACTATATCTGCAGTCAAGATTGAATCGCACTTATTAAAAACTTTTTTAAATTATAAAAATTTTTGGAGGGAAAAAAAGTAAAACTGGAATAACACAATATGCACAGTAGTTTTGTATCTTTTCTTTCCTGCTTTATATGAGAACATTATTCTATTGTATGAATATGCCATAATTTATTTAATCATTCTCATGTTCAGTTTTATTTATTTTATAAAAGTGTAATAATAATACAGATTTAGTATTTGATTATGTCTCCTCCAATTACAATGTAAACTTCATAAAGCAGCTCTTTTGGTTACTATTAAATCTGCAGTGCCTAAAAAAATATGTGGCACACAGTAAGTATGCAAAAATACATGTTGAAAGAATGGATATTATGAATACATTATTATATGAATTTTAAACACATTTTGATTATGGCCCTGGAAGGAATCACTTGAAGAGGCTGTACCAGGTCCCTGTTTATTATTATTATCATTGTTTATACATTTTTCCAAAACTATCATCAGTGCCTTTAATAAAAGGTAATCCTGTCAAGATGTACTATAATCCAGAGAGAGGACACGAAATGTCACATCAAAATCCATTTTTTAAATCATGGCTCTACTAGATGCTAGTACACAATCCTGAGTAGGCCACCTAACCTCTCTGAGATTCCTTTTCTCTCTCTTTCAAAGAAAAACAATTCTAGCACATAGGATTGTAAAGATTAAAGTAAGTAATAAAAGTGCTTTGTAAACTTTAAAGCATTATCTAAATGTTAGTAGATGGTATAGCAAACAAACTTGTGTCCAAAAAATTGGGGGAAAAAAAAAAAAAAAGACTGCTACCAAAATGTATGTCTTTATGCCACATGTCACGTAGCACAAAAGATCAATAAAAGGACATTATTAGTTATTATAAAACCATACCACTTTAAAAATAGAGCTAAATTAAACAATAAAATCATCCTCAAAATTTTGCATGATTTTTTGCCCTCTACTGGTACAGGTTAGACAAGAGCAGTGGTTCTCAAACTTTAGGTGTCAGAACCATTTGGAAGTCTTGTTAAAACAAGATTGCTGACCCCTCTCCTGGAGTTTCTTATTCAGTAGGACTGGGGTGGGGCCTAAGACTTTCTATTTCTAACAAGTGCCCCAAAGATGTTAATATTACTAATCTGGCATTTTAAGAACCATTGGACTAAAGGAATAGCTTTTTAGTCACCAGCAATTCTATCCAATCTGTGCTAGGACAAAAAATTCATTCATTCACTATTCATTCAGAAATATTTCTTAAGGGCCTATTATGTGCCAGGGGCTTAGAATATATACTCCAAATAAAAACAAAGATCCCTAACTTTAGAGACTGGAGGGACACAGGCAATCAAAAATTAAATTAATAGGTAAATTACATAGTTTGTTAGAAGGTATAAGTGCTATGGAAATGAAGAAAAAGAAAGGCAAGGAGGAATGGGAGCGCTGGGGTGGGAGTGGGAGTGATTTTAAATACAATGGCCGTAATAGACCACAACAAAAAGGTGACATTTGAGCAAAGCCTTGAAGGTGGTGAGGGAGTTAACTGTATGGTTATTTGAAGGAAGAGTGTTCCGGGGAGAGGGAAGAGCCAGTAGGCTGGAGTAGAGTGAGAGGGTTAAAGTAGTAAATGAGCTCAAAGACAAAATAGGGAGCCTGATCATTTAGGGCTTTGGCTTTTACTTGAATGAAAGAAGAGATTCACTGTAGGGTTTTGAGTAGAGAAGCAACATGACCTGACCTAGACTTTAAAGATTAATCTAGTTGAGAATAGACTATAGAGGAACAAGGTAGAAACAGGAAATCAATTAGGAGGCTACTGCAAATATCCAGAAAAGGGATGAAGGTGGCTGAGAGGCAGGGTATTGAGATACAGGATATGGCTTAAAGGCAGAAACAACAGAATTTCTTGTTGGACTGGTTGTAGGGTATAGACATAAATGAGTCAAATATCACTGGGCTAAAGCCTGAAGGTTTTGGGGATGAGCAACCAGAAGGATGGAGTTGTCACCAAGAACTGCTGGGGTCTGGGGCACTCTGATATTAAGAGATCAAGCAAAAGAGAATGAACCACCAAAAGAGACTGACAAGGATAAACCCATGGAACAAATGAAAGAGATCAACTGGGTCCAATGCAGCTGACAGGCTAAGTAAGTCTGAGTTTGAGACTGATCCTTGGTTTAGCAATGTGACAGGCATTAGAGACCTTGACGACAGCAATTTTTGGTGGAGTAACAAATAGGGTCAAAAACTTAGAGTAAGATGAAGAGAGAGTAGAAGAAATGAAATTGGAGATATAAGCAACTCTAATAAGGCATTTTGCTCTAAAAGGAAGGAGAAAAACAGCGTGTAGCAGGTAGGAGTAGTGAGGTCAAAAGGTTTTATTTAATTGAGAATGCTTTTATGAAATGGGAGTGAAAAAATATTACTGAGTCACACTTTTGAGATGTTCAACTAGACAGGGATAAAAAGAACAGAACTAGACATAAAGAAGGAAGGTGTATTTTGTTACTATGCTCTATTATACAATCAATACTAATCTGCCTATTAATATGTGTATATTGAAATATCTCTAGGTTTTCTCACAGGTAATTAAAAGATAACTTTAAAATTGAGCTATTAATGTTTGATGTGTACATAATAAGTAAAATTTTACATGCGTACAAAAAAATATTACAGCAGTTTCAAATGCACATTGACCTTAATGTTAATACAGCAGTAAGTATAGCCATGTTCTAGAATCATTATCCATATTAAACGATCCTGGAAACGGCCCAAGTAATGAGACCCAGGTAAGAGGAGACCTAAAAGAAATTAAAAAAAAGTAATTGTTCAAGTTTGTTTTATTTTGTCATGTGAATCTTCCAACTTGATAACTCACTTGGAACTAATTCACAACTCTTTTGACCCTCCCTTTACATCAAGAATAGAAACAATTCACTGCATGTCAGGAAGCATTAAATTCTTTACAGGAGCAGTTAGAAGAAAAAAATCCATAGCTGATAATAAAGTCAAAGATATATTTTCCAGAAAAACAATAAATTAGAACCTACTATATAAAAACCCAAATATATGTTAAATGTATTTTAAAAAGTATTAAGTACTGTATATAAAAGCCAACCTCATAATAATGATTTAAAATGTGGATAGTTTTATATACATGCATATAAAAATGTTTTGTTAAGTTTACATAAAATGCTACCTATCTCACTGTACAAATACTTTTAAAACTTTTTCTCTCAACATTATGTCTGAGATTTGCCCATGTTGACTGCAAACAGCAGTCATTCATAGTAACTGCAATGAGAATTCATTGTATGAATATAGGTGAATTTGAATATTTATTTCCCTGTTGATAAGTATTTCATATGCTTCCAATTTTTCACTATTTTAATAATGCGGAAGAAATGATCTTTGTGCAACTCTGCTTCTACAAAGTGTTGTACAGGAAAGAGTTAACACAGAACTGACTGCTATCCTCTGAAAGGCCTTCTTATAAAGTTGTCCCTTGAGTGGCATCTGGGGACTTGTATTTCAGGTTCCTCTTCCAGGTGATTGTACAAATTTACACATACCCTAGGCAATACTTGGTAATGTCACACTTTTTAAATTTTTGCCAATCAGAAGTGTGTGAAATGTTACATTTACTTAATACTTTATAACAGGGGTCCCAAAACTCTGGGCTGTTTTGTTAGTGGCCCGTTAGGAACTGGGCCTCGCAGCAAGAAGTGGGCGGCAGGTGAGAGAGCAAAGCTTTATCTGTATTTGCAGCTGCTCCCCAGAGCCAGCACCACAGCCTCAGCTCCATCTCAGATAATCAGGCATTAGATTCTTTTAGGAGCACTGGTCCCTGGTGCCGAAAAGGTGGGGACCGCTGATTTATATTCTTGGTTGAGTATAATGAATTTGCTAATAAAGTGTAATTTCTACTTTATCATTGACCAAAGCTTTTATGTTATCTTGCCTTGTAACCTTATCAGACTAAGTTGCTATATAATAATCAGATATGAGCAAACTCCTTAAAGCTCGTTAATCTGATATTATATGTTAGTTTTCACTATTCATGTTTAAGATATTGCATCAACTTGATATGAACTCATTATAAAATCATGGAAATTTGGGGAGATAAAGTGTTTTCTTGTTTCAATGGTGGGACTATAACCTGATTTAATGCAAGAAAATGTTTTTTATAAATTGTCAAATCACCTTAATGAAATTTTCTCTTAGTATTTTTTCTTTTATAACTTCATTTACCTTAAAATAAAGAGCAAGAGATATACTTCTATTTCATATTTAGTCTTTCAAAGTAATAGAATCTGTAAAATGGCTAGATCAAAACCAACCACTTGGTTGGTTTCGTGTGTTCATTTTTCTGTACTTTGAATAGATTAGTGAGGATTTCTTAAGCACAACCCATTTACTTACCTAAACTTCCAGCTACCATTGCAGACTGCAGTGCAGCGGTCAAACTTGGGACCATCTGGTAGTAGTACACTGTATCTGCACACACGCAAGCTGTGGTGCCCACTACTCCTGGCCAACTCTGAGTAGGTCGGGGAAACCCCACCAAGAACAAAGGAAGGGTGAAGAGGGGGAGTAAGGGAGAAGAGAGTAGTGTAGAAAAAACTATGACAACCAATACAAATGGAGAGAAGACAATATTGAGTATACATAAAGTGGTGGTTGATTTTCTACGTTTTTTCTCCATCCATGATGCCAAAAGTACAGTCACAGCAAACTGCAATTTAGAGATGAACTGAATCAGACGATCACGCATGATGCCAACCTGTAGAGATGTAAAAATGACTTTTTTATTCTTGAAAAATCTTATTCTTAAAAACGATCTTTATTCCTTATTCTTTATGCTAGTCATTTCATGAATTTTCAAGATCATAAAAGAGAAACTGTATAATTTTATTACTGCCTCAATATTTTTGAGGAAATAGCCTTTATATAAGATTCTTTGTTATAATTTTCTCCAACCTCGGAATAAATGAGACTACTTTTTTTTAAAAAGTTTGGGCTTCCTTATAAAGAGAAATAGTACTAAAGAGAATTGACAGAGTGCTATCTAAATCTTAAGGCTAAGCCTTGCATTACATATTGGTTAATTCATGAGAACTAAAAGTGGTAAAGAGTTAAGCAACTATCCTTAATTTATCCTTAGAGAGCATTTAACATATTAAGAAACAAGTCATGCCATAAGACAAACCTCAGTAGATTGAAATCACACTAAGTATGTTCAGTGTTCATACAAATCCCTCACAGTATGTTTTTCAACCAAAACAGAATGAAATCAACACTAGAAAGAAATCTAAAAATTAAAAGACTCATTCCTAAATAACCAATGGGTCAAAGAAGAAATCACAAGATAAATAAGAATATATTTTGAGATGACTGAAACAAAAATACAACATACCAAAATTTGTGATACAGCTAAAACATTGCTCAGAGGGAAATGTATAGCTTTAAATGTCTATATTAAAAGAGAATAAAGATCTTAAATCAATAACCTAACCTTCTACTTTAGGAAGCTAGAGAAATTAGACAACAGAAAACAAACAAAACCTCAAGTAAGCAAAAGGAAGGAAATAATAAAGATTAGAGCACAAATTAATAAAATAGAGAATAGAAAAACAACTGAGATAAATCTCAATGAAACCAAAAATCTAATTTTTTATATCACAAACCCGACAAGCCATTAGCTAGACTGACCAAGAAAAAAACAGAAGGCTCAAATTAGTAAAATCAGGAAAGATGTAACATACCATCTTATAGAAAAAAGTGAAAAGAATTATAAGAGAATACCGTGAACAACTGTGTGCCAATAAATTAGATTACTTAGATGAAACTGAGAAGTTTCTAAAAAGACATGAATTATTGAAATTGACTCAAGAAATAGAAAATTGGAATAGATCTATTACAAGTAAAGAAATTGAATTAGTAATTTAAAAGCTACCCAGAGAGAAAAGCTGAAGCAAAGATGGCTCCCATACTACAAAATATTTAAGATATGTACCGAGTACTGCAAAACATTTTAGAATAATTAATACGAAATTCTCAACTGATTCTATGAGGTGAGCGCTATTACAATATCTAAACCAAAGACATGACAAGAAAAAAAATATATATCCAACCAAATCCTGGAACACATAAACAGGATTATACACCATGACCAAGTGACATTTATTTCAGGAATGCAAAGTTAGTTTAATAGCCAAAAATCAATGTATTCACCATGTTAACAGATTAAAGGACCCAAACCACATGATCAGTTCAAAAGACACAGAAAAAAACATTTGACAAAATCCAACATTCATGATAAAAAGACTTAACTAGGAATAGAAGGAAACCTCTTCAACCTGAAAAAGAGTATCTATGAAAAAACAATAGCTGATATATTTAATGGTAAAACACTGACATCGACTTAATAGAGAAAGACTCAATGCTTTCCTCACAGGATGTTCATTCTTACTCCTATTCAATATCATATTAGAGGTTCTAGCCAGGGCAATTATCTTTAAAAAAAAAAACAAAAACAAAAAACCACCTACAGCACCTCATATTCCTAGGTTGTCTCCCATCCAAGCACTAACCAGGCCCGATCCTGCTTAGCTTCTGAGATCAAACGGGATCGGACGCGTTCGGTCTAGCCACGGCAACTAGCTAAGAAAATGAAATGAAAGACATCTAGATTGGAAAAGAAGAAGTAAAACTATCTTTACTACATCTAGTTTGCAGATAACATAATCTTATATATAGGACATCCTAAGAAATCTACTAAAAATCTATTAGAACTAATAAAGGAGTTTAGTGAGGTTTCAGGATACAAGATTAATATTGAAAAATCAATTTTATTTTATACCATGGCAATAAACAAGCCAAAAAAATGAATTAAGGAAACAACTGCATTTATAATATCATCAAAAAGAATATAATACTTAGGAATAAATTTAATAAAAGCGTAAGATTTCTACATTGAAAACTACAAAACATTATTGAAGATCTAAATAAACGTAAAAACATCTCATGTTCATGGATCAGAAGAATTAATTTTATTTTATTCTATTTACCTACAGCACCTGGTCTTCCTAGGTGGTCTCCCATCCAAGTACTAACCAGGCCTGACCTTGCTTAGTTTCTAAGTTCAGATGGGATCGGGCGTGTTCAGGGTGGCATGGACGAAGATGTTAATGTTTTTAAGATGGCAATAATCTCGAAACTGATCTACAGATTTGAGGCAATTCCTATCAAAATCTCAGATGCCTTTTTGCAAAAGCTGAAAAGCTGAAACTAATATTTATATGTTAATGCAATGGTATCAGAATAGTCAAAACAATCTTGAAAAAGAAGAATAAAGTCGGAGGACTCATACTTTCCAAATTCAAAACCTACTACAAAGTTATAGTGATCAAGACAGTGTTGTTAAGGATAGACATATAAATGAATGGAAAAGAACTGAGAGTCCAGACAGACATAAACTCTCACATTTGATTTTTTACAAGGGCACCAAGAAAAGTCATTGAGGAAAGAATAGTTTTTTCAATAAATGGTTATGGGACAATTGTATATTCATATACAAAAAATAGATTTGGAACTCTACCTCACATCATATACAAAAATTAACTCAAAGCAGATCACAGATCCAAATGTAAGAGCTCAAACTGTAAAACTCTTAGAAGAAAAAATAGTAAATCTTTATGATCTTGGAATAGGCAGTGTTTATTAGATATGACACCAAAAATACACAAGACAAAAGAAAAAATAAACAACATTAACAAAGTGAAAAACTTTTTGCTTCAAGGACATTATTAAGATAATGAGAGACAACCTACAGAATGGGGGAAAAATTTTGTTTATCACATATCTGTCAAGTAACTTGTATCCACAATATATAAAGAACTATTACAACTCAGTGATAAAAAGACAACCCAAGTGTGCAAAAGAGCTGAATAGACATTTCTCCAAAAAGCCTGTACACATGGCCAATAAATATATGAAAAGATGTATCATTTAGAGAAATGAAAATCAAAATCACAATGAGATAGCAGTTCATACCCATAGGAATGACTATAATGAAAAAGTCAGATAATAACAAGTATTGGTGAGAATGTAGAGAAATTAGAATTTTCATACATTGTTGGTGGGAATGTAAAATGGTACAACTTTAGAATAATAGTAACACTTTGAAGTGTTAAACACAGAATTACTGTATGACTGAAATTCCAGTTCTAGATACACAAACCCAAGAGAAATGAAAATATATATCCATATACAAAATTTGTACACAAATGTTCATATCATTATTGAAAATAGTCACGAAAGGAAACAACCTAAATATCTATTGTCTGATGAATCAAGCAACCAAATGTGTATATGCATAGAACAGAATATTATTTGGCAATAAAAAAAATAAAATATGCAATGCAATATATATATATATATGACTTACTGTTGAATTGTACACTTGAAAATTATTGAATTTCATTAACCAATGTCCCCATAAAAAAAAAAATACATGCTACAAAATGAATGAACCTTGAAAACATACAGGTGAAAGCAGCAAAATGTAAAAGACTAAATATTGTATGGTTCCATTCTTGTGAAATGTCCAAAACAGGCAAATCCATAGAGACAGAAAGTAGATTAATGGTTGCTGGGACTGGATGGGAGGTGAACAGGAATGAGGAATGACTATTAATGTGTACGAGGTAACTTTTGGAGATGTTGAAAATTTTCTAAAATTAAATTGTGATAATGGCTGCAAAATTCTGAATGCATACTACTGAACAGCATACTTTAAGTGGATGATTTATGGTATATGAAACATAACTCATTAAAGCTGTTAAAAATACACTTACCAATAAGAGTCTGATTCCTGTATCCAGGCTTCTGTTCCACCATATATCTGTATTAGAGGTCAACAAGTGCACTGCTGATACAATGACTGTCTCCAATAAAGCATTTTCTGTATTCTGCCATACCTGTAGTACACATATTCTCTACTTTATTAGGTAGAATCTGATAATCTAAATAAACTGTTATAGTAAACAAAATCACAATTAAACTTAGGAATAGGAAAATATTATTAAGTGCATTATCAGGATTACCATTCTAAAAGCTCTTGTGAATCCAATGGAGACAGACACTGAGTAGAGCCCTTGTAAGGAACTGTCCAATGAAAGAAATGCTATCATAGCAAAAGGCGACACTAAGACAAACGAAAAAGACAAATTTAATTAAGGCAAAGTAACTCCTTCTATCATATTTTATTTTGGCCAATATGAGGTTTTAAAAATACACATTTAAGCAATTAACTTAAAAAAAAAAACCCAATAAACCAAAACATAAAGAACACTTGTATGTAGCATTATACAAATATGGTAATTACATAATATTTCTGTACACTTTGTAGATATAACACAATTCCTACCTAGATTTAGCAAAATCCGTCTGACAACACCAATCTTCATGAGCCTTGCTTGCTTCTCTAAAAATAATGTCACGGTCTGCACATCCTTGGGATAGAAAGGGTTTCGGAAAATTCCAAAGATATAGACACTCTGAATTTCTCTAAGTATCCACAGTATTATAAGTAATATCATCAAAATATAGCCAACAATAGCTTGGGGACTATTTTTGGAAATCTTTGAACAACAAGCAAAGTGATGAAGCAAAATACTTTCTAAGAGAGCCAAGACTAATATAACGATGTAGAAAAGGCATTCCTTCCAAGTAAACTGTTTTTCTGAACCACTGAGTAAAGCCTTAGATTTGGTTCCAACTCCGTGTCTGGTCACACTGTGTTTGAAGACAAAACCCATCTCACTTAGGTTAAGACTCAATAAGAACCCAAGTCCAGTCATAAGAAGAACCATTCCAGTAGTGCTGGGAATGAAATATGATGTTCCAGCAGTTCCAGCAGAGATGATGAACATTATTAATAACCTAGAGAGAAGAAAAAAAGATTTTCTTGAAAAGAACAAAAATGTTCTTTAAGAATAAGTTACATATAGCTTTAATATTTAAAATAATTACCGTGGATGGGTTGACATAGATGAGCCTCCAAGGCCAAACTCTAAAACCTGCTCCATTGCCCATAAGAAAAGTGCATCAGGCGGTGGCAAGGTTCCAAGTGCCCACAGAAAAGGTAAAAATATAAACAGTATGTGTAAAACCTGATTCATTTGCTCTAGAACTGGTATATTGACCATAAACCTATAGGAAAAAAAAAAAACCAAAACACTTAAATCATACAAAATTATAAGAGGACCCTTCCAGGAAAAACAAAATATACACCCCCTATCTCACACACCTCCCCCCCGCTGCAAAAGTACACTTACAGAAAGGTCCTAGTCTCAACTTGCAAAATATCAACACATATAAATTGTGATCATTGTCCTTCCCCTACACCATTAAGTACCTCTACTCAATAATGTCCAAGTTTAGCACTTAATATGTGGATTCAAATGTGGAAAGAAGGAATTAAAGGTAATTTACTGAATAAAATTGAATTTAGAAATCTGTAAAACTGAACTGAGCCAAGGGAAAAAATGTCTAAACTACATTGGCTGAAATTCTAACAATGATTCTTTAAACTGTAAAATGTTTTAATTTAAAATTGCAGGTAACTCTGGAAAGCCAGAGCCTTACTGATGTTCACACATTAGTAGCTAGCAAAGAGAGGAAGCTCTCAATACATTACTTTTTGGAATGAGGTAACGAAACGCCTTGTCTGGAATACAACAATGTCATAGTACTTATGAGTTTCAGAGATAACTTTCAAAAGAGAAAACTAAATCTCAAAACTTATAGCATAATTGTACTTAAATACCTGAGCTGCTAGAAATCAGTCAAGGAGAAAGGCAACTTCTCTGTAATAATCACCACTTAAGTGTATGTTAACAGTCCTGAAGCAAATGTATAGTAACCATGGATATAATAATGGCATAATGTGTTTGTTCACACGTATACCGGGTATGCCAACTAATGCACTCTGCCTCATAATGTATGTCCTTCAAATTTTTATAAGCAGAGAAATAATGAACACAAGGTTAACAATGTGATGCTAAATTAGAGGACAATACTTTTTGTAGTACAGTTTCAAAATAAAATTCATTTTTTTCTGAGAAGAAAACACTGAAGTAACAAAGAAAACTGAAACACAATAAGCCACAGGAAGGTCAAGGAAAACATGCAGATTTGTATAGTTTTTTTAAAAAGACAATACTAGTTAACATATTCAAAGATAGGATAATTTGTGTAAAAAAAATGTATACTCAGGAAATATTTTATCCAAGTTCAATTTACCACCCCGAAAATCATTTTGTTCTTAACATAAATGATAAGCAACGGCACAGAAAAACGTTATACACAAGGATATCAGAAATAAATATAAGCACATGTAACTAAAGTTACCATTGATTACTTTCTTGTTTATATGACTCAGGCCCAAGTAGATGATTATTGTGATTTTTTTTGTATGAAAATGTTTAAATTCTAATATTTCTGATAATGTAACAGGAATTTTCTATGGCAAAAAATCTGAGCCCTCGAGAAAAAATGGAATCTAACCATAAAAATATTTTAAATTCTGTATACGCATTATGACCCATATACTCCCCAAAAGATGTTCCTTATAGTAGATGATGTAAATATGCATCATTCATTCAAACAGTTCCTGAGTGCATGAACAAAGCACTGTAGATTTAACACTTGTCTTTGATAAAACTACACAGAAAGTCATTTAAAATTATTAATACACATCTGTACTGGGTAGAATAAAGAATGGGAAAAGAGAAAAGATTACTACACTGTGGGACTCATCTCTTCAACTTTCACATTGTCTGAAATAAAATTAAGATACAATTTGATATATTTGACAACTGTCCAAATTTGAATAGTGTACACATTTTATACATTATGTCTATAGTATCATACTTACTGTATAAAGATCATCTTGATTCCTTATTATTTTGCTAATCAGAAGCTAAACGTTTTCTAAAAGTGAAGCGGGAGGTATTTTTTCTGTACAAAAATGTCATTTAAAAAATAGATTTCAAAACTGCCTCTTTTTAGTTACAAAGTTTTCTTTGTAATTATCAAACTGTAAACATTAAAACTGTATGTTAAACTCAACTAGAATGTAGTGAAAAACATTTTATGCTTTTTCGTTTAGAAATGGGTAATGTGGAAAGTCAAGGTAACCAAATTATAAATTAACTGAGTTGTTTTTTTTTTAAATTCAAGAACCTAGGGCATCATTTTAAATGCAAATATGTATTATAGAAGGTATATAATTTCCGATTTTGGAAATGGCACAGTAAGATAGTAAATCAATAATCTATTCTGAAAATAATCCTATAAACTTAAATCTTTCAAAAGGAGTAACATGTATGTACATACATTTAAACTCAACTTTATTGTTAACTTTTCAAAATCAAGGATTTAATTATATTTTATAGTTAGTAAACAGTAGTGGTACTAAGAAACCATTTATAAATGAATTTCCCATAAAGTAATTCTCCTCTTAGATGTTTGATTAGATGAAGAACTACAAGGGTATTATAGTGTCCAATGGTTCCTAAATGTAGCACAATTAGAAGAGATTAAGAGTTAAAGAATAGGAGATACCTAAGAGTAGGTCAGTTTCAGTACACAGGCTGCCTAAATATTTTTAAATGCCTTGTTTTATTTTGGGCTGCAATAACAAAAATATCATACACTAGGGTGGCTCAAACAATAGAAATTTATTTCTCATAGTTCTGGAAGCAGAACGTATGAGATCAGAGTGCCACCGTGGTGGGTTTCTAGTGAGAACTCTCTTCCTGGTTTGCAGACAGCCAATTTATCATTGTATCTTCACATGGTAGAGAGACAGATCAAAGGCTCTAGTGTTTCCTATAAAAGCACTAATTCCATCAGCCTTGGGCCACCCTGATGATCTAATTACCTGCCAAAGACCCCATCGCCAAATACCATCACAATGGGGGTCAGGGCATCAACTCATGAATTTTAAGGGGTCACATACATTCAGTCTATAACATTCCACCCCAGACTTCATGTTCTTATGTACAAAATACATTAATTCCATCCCAGCAGCTTCCAGCATCAATTCTAACGTCCAAAGTTTTATTTAAAAGTCATCTAAATCAGATACAGGCAAGACTTGAGATACTATTTATCCTGAGGTAAAATTCCTTTCCAGCTGTGAAACTGTGAAAACAGATAAGTTATTTGCTTCCAAAATACAATGTAGGACAGGTATAGAATGGACACTCCTATTCCAAAAAGGAGAAACAGGAAAGAAGGAAGGGATGACAGGTCCAAAGTAAGTCCAAAACTATTCTCTGCCTTCCAGGTCCCTATGGTGGAAATGTCACCCAAACAGCTCTAGATGGGGGTCCTATCCCTATGGGTGTACCAGCCCAAGGCTTCCAGCAGAGGCTTTCTAGCTTTGAAATTTGAGGCATTAGTCCTGTTAATCTCTGAAATATTTTCAGGGTCATTTTTCCAATCTTTTTAAAGAATAGTGCCTGTTCACAGCCAAAGAGGTCTATCATTCCCATCCTATCAAATCTAATAGTCTAACAACTTTCCTTCATTACTTCTGGTCTCTGTCCCCTTTAGTTTAAACTGGCAGTGTGTCTGCCCATATAATCCCATAAACCATTTAATGATAGTCCAGCCACACCCTTGGTGTTCTCTTTAGAAAACGTTTCCTCATTTTTTGCAATATGAGTAAGTCAAAAGTTTTCCAAACTTTCAAGTTCTCGTTCCTTTTTGCTTAGCAATTCCTTCTTCAGTTCATCTGTTTTCTTTCATATTTTACTATAAGCAGTCAAGAGGAATCAAGCTGTTCCTTCAATATTTTGCTTAGAAATTATTCAGATATGTATCTAATTTCATCACAAGTTCTTCCCTCCACAAAACATTAGAAAATAGTTCACCCAAGTTCTTTGCTGCTTTATAACAAGGATTGCCTTTCCTTCAGTTTCTAATAACATGTTCTCATTTCTTTCTGAGACCTCACCAGAATCACCTTTAATGTCCATATTTCTAGCATTCACTTCAAAACTCTTCCAGCCTCCACCCATTACCCAGTTCCAAAGTCACTTTGTGCTGGCTGGAAAATTAGTGCTTGGCCATCACCCATGGGAACATAGGCTGTCACCCATGGGAACATAACATTCTAACAATAAGCTTTCTGCTTCTGAATCCCCGCTTGCACAACTGACCTGTGGGTTGACAGGTAGTGAATAGGAGAAAAATAGACCTTTGTGTTTAAGACAGAATGAGGAATGAGATTTAGGGCTTAAAAACGCTGTACCTCTACATTTCAGGGCTGCTTAATTTGGGGTCTGTGTACCCCTGGCAGACCTAGCTGGCTGAATAAAGAGTATGTTTCCTATAACTCACTGATTTCTGGTGGTTCATGTGTCTTTCGGGGGCTGGCGGCTACAACAACTTCTACACTTTTAGGTTATTTGTTACAGAAGCATCCCCGCCTCTTGGTATGACAATCTGTCTTAGTCGACTTGGGCTGCCATAACAAAATACTGCAGACTGGGTGGCTTAAACAACAGAAATTTCTCAGTTCTAGAGGCTGGAAGCCTAAAATCAGAATGGCGTTCCGGTTAGGTTCTGGTGAGGACATTCCTCCTGGCTTGTAGAAAGCCAACTTCTCATTGTTTCTTCACATGGTAGTGAGAAAGAGATCAAGCGCTCTAGTATCTCTTCTTATAAGGGCATTATTAATTCTATCATTCCAGGATCCCATCCTCATTATCCCAATTACCTCCCAAAGACCCCATCTCCAAATACTGTCACATGGGGTGTTAAGGCTTTAAATACATGAATTCAGAGGGAACACATTCAGTCCACTATATGACTGTGCATTTCTACCTGGACACTAACCTGTGAAAGAGAAAGCTGCAATCTACAGAAGCAGAGAAAGAAAAGTCAGATTTAGAAAAAGCAAGTAAAAGGGGTTATCAAACAATTTTGTTAAAAACCTACTTTCTATTTTCTTCTTTATCAAATTGATTAAAAAATTCAATTTCTTCTAGTTACTATAACAAAATTAGAAATAAATTATTCTATTTATCTTAAATCCACTCAATCTGTACATAATATTTATGTATATAAATTTTAAATTCTTCATTTTCACCTCACAGGAAAGTTCCATATCTTTTCATAGGTTTCAGCCAGGCTATCTTATTTACCTTATCTTATAAAGGGGTTTTCTTTTTTACTTCTCAATAACATTTAATTACTGCTTTAGCATGTATGTTTAACTGAAATTAGTCCTAAGAGAGTAATCATCAAAACAACCTGTCACTCAGTGGTTTGGCCCTGATGACTTTCAATCCACAGATTCATTTGTTTTTAATACTAAGAAGAATACTCTTATTATGTATGATTAAAAACAAAACAAGATATAAATTATTTGATAGCTTATTACCTGTGTGCAAGATCTACAGAAACAAAGAAAAATATATAAAGAGGTCTCATAAGAGGAGTGATTTCATAAGTATCCTGGGTTTGGAAAGTCGCAGTCTCTATAGCTGTGTTTACAATTAACGAATATTCTCCTGTACATAATGTTATCCATCCAAAGAAAAACAGTAAAACAGTGCCTCCTGCATTGCCATATAGCAAAGTTATTCTATTCGGGAGTAGATACCATGTTCCAAGGCCACATACTAACCCAGCGAGAACAGAATGAAAAACTGTATTGGCTATATATTTCTTGCCAGGAATTAGAAATTTGATAGTCTCAGCACTGGCACAACTTGTAAATTCATGCGCATCTTCCTGTGCTAAGATATCTGTGGTTAGTATTCTTTCTACTGTCACTGATTTGTTTCTGGCATATAAACTTGTAAACTGGATGACAAATGCAGTGCCAAGCATTAGTCCACCTGAGAGTGCTGCCGTGTAATAGTCTTCCAGGATGCCTAATTGGTACAAAAGTGTTCCAATTCCACCTAAAATCCATGGCATCAGAAAAAGGATAATTTGATTAACATATATGTAAGAAGGGGCACAGTAGCCTAATTTGAGTCTTGGGCCTCCAAGAACAGTCTGTGGAAAGCGCTTCAGAAAGAAGTCCTTTTTGTAATCATTCAGCAGAGGCACATCTGGACTCATCCTTCTCACTCAGGATTATTCTGAAAGCACATCCTTTTCTGTAACATAGAAATCTCTAAAAAAAAAAAAGAAAAAAAGGGGAAAAGTCACTATTTGAAAATGCCATACTTAAAACATGGGAAGGGGGAACCCCATATTTCTATTTATCTCCTTAGTTCAAGGGCAGGATTTATAACTTCACTTCTCTAGCACCTCCCCATTTCCTGACACATACCTGGCACTAAATGAATAGTTGCTAAATTGTTTTTTATTTGGAAAAAATCATATCTATTATTAACTTATCTAGAACTTAATATCTAAAATTAGATCTTAAGTCAATTGACATTTTTAGATTTTGAGGTCAAAATAAAGTTTACAAAATCAAAACTCTCAACTCAACTCTGCCAGTGGTTTAACTTATCATTTCCCTGAGGGCTTTTGTTGTTTAACTTTTTCCTCTATTACAAGAGTCAGCAAAATTTTTCTGTAAAAGTCCAAAAGTAAATATTTTAGGCTTTGTGGACCATAAGGTCTCTGTTACAATGACTCAACTCTGCTATTGTAGCAGAAAAGCAGCCACAGATAATATATACATAAATGAGTTATGAATGGTTCTGTTCCAATAAAACTTTACAGTATTTACCCAAACAGGCTGTGGGCCAGATGTAGCCTATAGGTCATAGTTTACCAACCCTTGCCCTATAAAGTAAAGATATCCTCTATAATTCCCTTGAATTAAAACAGACAGAGAAATGGAAAACAAATAGAAATACTAAGCGTTAGTCACATCCCTTAATTATAGTAAATTTAGGCTTTTCCAATAATTTAGTCAAAAGCTGCTAAAATAGTAGCATTTCTATAAAAAGCCACTGGCAGCTCAGGTAGTAGGAAGACCAATGAACTGGAAATTAAAAGACTTCAGGTGTCAGTGTAATGCTTACTACTAGCTACATTACCACAGGCAAACCACTTCATGATTCAAATTTAGTCTTTCTGTTGGTTTCCAAAAATCTACCAGCAGTAAGAAAGCATTTGAAACAATAATAGGACCTGTATATGCTTTAGTCTAGATTACTTTAAAGGCCACAAAAATCTAAATGTCAAATAACATGAGTCTCTTCTCTTCAACTTTTCTGTTTCCTAGGATATACTCAGGAACTTATTCTGAAAAACAGTTGCCTGACACAGGTCAGCTAGCAAAGTATTACCCCAGGGATCATATGCTGGGCTAGAAAAGAAAAACTGTGTTTAAAGTCTTCTTCATAAAGACAGATATATAGACCAATGGAATAGAATAGAAGAGATTGGGCACATTCAGGGTGGTATGGCCATAGACTGGAATAGAATAGAGAGCCCCAAAATAAACCCTCACATATATGGTTAAACATTTGACAAGGGTATCAAGATCTTTCAATGGGAACAGTCTTTTCAACAAACAGTGTTGGGAAAACTGGGTATCCACGTGCAAAAGAATGAAGTCAGACCCTTATCTAACACTATATACAGAAATTAATTCAAAATGAATAAAGGACCTAAATGAAAGCCCTACAGCAATAAAACTCTTAGAACTAAATGTAAGTCCTAAAGCAATAAAACTCTTAGAAGAAAACACAAAACAAAAGCTTCTGACATTGGATTTGGCAATGACTTCTTAGGTACGACACCAAAGGTACAGGTAACAAAAGAAATAGACAAATTGGAATTAAAAAAATGTGTACACCAAAAGACATTCTCAACAATAAAAAGGCAACACACAGAATGGGAGGAATTATTTGTAAATAATATACCTAATAAGGGATTAATATCCAGAATATAGAGAAAACTCCGAAAACGCAACAACAACAACAACAAAAACAACCCAATTTGAAAACTGGCAAAGGACTGAAATAGACATTTCTCCAAAGAAGATATAAAAATTACAATAACCAAATGAAAAGATGCTCAACATCAGTAATCATTAGGGAAATGCAAATCAAAACTACAATGAGCTACTATCTCACACCCATTAGGATGGCTACTATCAAAAAACCAAAAAACAAGTATTGGCAAGGATCTGGAAAAACTGGAACCCTTGTACACTGTTGGTGGGAATGTAAAATGGTACAACCTCTGTGGAAAAAACTATGATGGTTCCTCAAAAAATTAAAAATGGAATTACCATATGACCTAGGAATTCCACTTCTGGATATACACTCCAAAGAACTGAAAGCAAGGCCTTGAAGAAATATTTGTATAGCCATGTTTATATTTATAGCAGCATTACTGACAGTAACTAAAATGTGAAAGCAACCCAAATGTCCATTGAAGGATGAATAGATAAGCAAAATGTGGTATATACTTACAAAGGAATATTATTCAGCCTTAAAAAGGCAATCCTGCAACATGCTATAACGTGGATGAAACTTGAGGACATTATGCTAAGTGAAATAAGCCAGTCACGATAAGATAAATACTGTACAATTCTACTTATATGAGGTACTTAGAATAGTCAAAACCATAGATAGAAAGTAGAATGGTGGTTGCTATCGGCTGGAGAGAGAGAATGGTGAGTTATTGTTTAATGGGTATAGTGTTTTACAAGATGAAGAGACATGGGGATGGATGGTGGTGATGACTGCACAACAATGTGATAAGGTACTTAATATCACAGAACTGTACATTGAAAATGGTTAAGGTGGTAAACTTTGTTATATATATTTCACCACCCACAAAACATTTTAAATAGTCTTTCTGCAAGTCAGTTCTACCCAACCAAAATCAGCCCTGAAGAGAGCTTTTGGGCATCGCGAAAGGTTTTGGGATCACCATTAAGAATTACTGCTTTATAGCACCTCTTGTTATTGTTAAGAAGATCTTTATAAATATTTATTATTTTACATTTTCAAGCCACTGCTCTTAGTTCTGCATAAAACAAGGCATAGCTTTTACTTACATCCAAGTACTCACAAAACAATAGAACCACAGGGCCAAAAGGAACCTTGATGGTTCAATCTCAAGGTATGAAGATTGCTTCCCTCTCTCTGAAAGAGCTTATCTCCTGTACTGATGTCAGGCTCAGTGACATCATATTCTGAATAATTATTCTGTATAAGCCATAGGGTAAGTAAAGGCATACTACTGTTATTGGGGGTAAACATTCTGATTTCAATTATATATGGAAGATGCCATCAGACAGAAAAATGAACTGGGATGGCTGGCCTGGGAGTTCTGAAGAGTGGGGATATGCCGAATTTTCCTCAAGAAGTTAGGAAAAACTGGCCCCTCCTGCTCCACTGACATAAGTCAGGAACAAGATAGTATTTGATAGAATACTCTGTGATTATGTTCCAAACAGTGGAATATTCTGAAGATGTACCGTTGAAGCGGAAACATGGAAATATGCCCACAATATGTTGAAAATTAAAACATACTGATGATCCTGTTTGTATTAAAAAAAAAGTACATACACTTGCATGTATACATGGCTGTGCAGTTTGTATTGGTGTAAAAAGTTTGTGAAGGCATATACACTAAGCTGTGTTTGTGTATTTTACATATAACATTTTCATATCTCTTCAAATTACCAAATATCCTCTAGAACTCTCAACCCCATGCCTCGCAATTATATCCTGTACTTTTCATTCTGGGTGCCTCTGCTCAAGCCCTCTCCTTTGCCTATGGTCTCCTCTACTCTCTTCCCTAATTAATAATCTTAGTCAACTTTTATCAATCAGTCTACTCCTTTCAGAAAATTCTGCAGAACACTCAGGCCAAACTGTGTCTCTCTTCTCTCTGTATATCAAAAATATTGCTTGTTCATACTACTCAACTTGTAAGATGTATCAACATAAGGCACTTCTTGCATTGTTCACTTCTTCACATGTTAACTATACGTGTTTTTTCTTTACTAAAAAGTTATTTGTGGGTAGGGGCTAACACTTGAGGTACTTCTGATTCTCCATAATATTTAGTAAAATACCTTCACATGGAGAGGCATGTAATACATTAATGGTATAGCTTAAATAAGATAATTAAAGTAGGAAAACATTAAATATTGCTGTTTTTTCAAATGGAAAGTTGAGAGTACATATATTGTTTGAAAACTTCTTCTAGCACATCCCACCCGACTCAAAACAGTAAACCCATAAACTCTTTATTCCTAGGAATTGTTTAGAAAGTATTTTCACTTATGTTTATTATGGAAAAAATAACAGTTTCTATTGATAGTATTATTGGCTCAGAGAAGATTTTTGCCTAGAGCAGTACATCCCAAAGTAATATAGGAGCAGGATGGGCCTGAGGGATATACATGGCTGTGTTTCTCCTGTGGAGAAGGAAGTGGCTGGAGGATTTTAACGTGTCAGAAGTCCAATTTTGTTTCCGTCCTACGCTACACTTTAATTTTCTTCATTATAAGGATGGAAGAACTAGTTCATATCAGCAGAGAAAAGCAGATGTAGAACAGCAGGCACAAGGAGCAAAATAAGGCAGGAACGATCAATAACAAAGTGAGAGCAGACCAAAAAGTATGAAGAGAATATAAATTCCCTTAAGAAGCCTTAGAAGCATGGGGGAGGACATTGGATAGTGATTTAAGTTATTTTAATGGGGTATTAAAAGAAAGGCTGAAGGATACAGTATTACTTGCTATATGAGAATAAAAAAATGAAAACTTTTTGGACTTTACAAAATGGACTCCATGGGGGCCATGACAGTAATGTCAACTTAAACATAAGGGGAACGCCCTTAGGGTGTAACTGGACTGCTCAAAACTATGACTGTCAACCCCCACTTGTAAGAGTTGATAAGCATGAGGAGCCCCACCTTGTAAGGTCCATATAAGATTAACACCTGACTGACGATGTTCAGCCTAAGCTGATGAGCATCATGGATGATGCACTAGAGTAAAAGACTCTCTGACCTTTGGTCCCATTGTGGGACTTGCGTGCAGTTCTCCATGCTGTCAGTCAACAGAGTTCACTTTGGATATGCTAAGGACTTTCACCCTTTGCTCTGTCCTTTAAGACTCTGTACTCTCCCTCTCTGTGTGTTGTGTGTTAACCTGTGTGGGTGCCTGATTGGTTTATCTGAGACAGT